TGTAGACCCTCTGCTTTTTATTTTAGCAAATAGTCGAGGCAACTAACAAGAATGTGAAAAGGCAAATGTAATACATTTAAAACATAAATTAACATAAACCAGTATTAATCTTAGAATTGATGCTCATCTCAATGAACAATCAGAAACCTGATGAAAGAAATATATTTTCTAGGTTTTCTAAACACAGAGGTAATGTGGAGGAAATGCAGCTTCCAAGGAAGCGTATTCGGTAACCTGGGTGCAACACAGCGGGACCCCAGCAAGATGAGCCTCTGACAACAGCCAAATGTGGAAATGAATGCCTGCTTCTTTTGGCTTCAGGCTCAGTTTTTCTTCATTTAGATCCATCTTTATGTGATATAAGCTGCTTTTTCCTCTCTTAACATTCTCGTTTCGTCAGCCGAGAACTACCGGAAAGACGGCAGTAATGGGATATGCTGATGTCATCAGAATGAGTGGGGACATACTTTTTAGCCTTTTTTTTCCTTCCATCTTGCGGGGAGGGTATTTTTTTAAAAATATGAATAGCATGGTAAGCTCACTAGATTTAAGGAACTTTTTTCCTTTGGTTTCCTACCAAAACCTGATGGGCCAGCCAATTGCTATTATTCGGCAGTGTGGCTTTGTGAGCTGCAGAGCCACAGAAAAGAGGCCTGGGCTACAGAAGGCCCAGCCCTGCTAGAGACAGAAGAGTTCATTAGCAAGCACTCTCCGTGAAGCACCCCGCCTGGCGCTTCCACTGCATCGCCACCTTAGGCGTACACTGGCATTCAGTGGTGGGAGGCCAGTGGAGGAGACTTCAGGCTTTCGTGAATAAAGCGCATCCGTACTCTCTTGCACCTGGACTTTTAATAAGGATATCATGGATTTATTTGAATCACATTGTTTTCTTTTCTTAGATTTTCTGCTGATAGAGTTGAAGCATGAAGCATGCCACCAGCCAAGTTCTTCTGTAATTTAGCTTAGGCTTGAACGTTTCCCCGCCCCCCTTCCCCATCATAGAGAGTTTATGGTTGAAACAGCACTGGTAGACAAGTTGATTTTGAAGTTGAAGATCTGTGGATGAGATCGCTCGCTTTTAAGTTCCCTTATAGCATCTGATAAAGGTAGATTCTCATGAGAATTAGATGCCAAATTTCCTTACATCAGCTGAATCTAAGAGGAGGCCAGGTCATTTACTGTTTTCTATTTCTTTGTTGATCATTTAGAACAAACAGTCCCAGACTCTGATCATTCTGTGCCCGGTGGCCTTCTGAACCCAGGAAAGAGCACATACTTGGGGTGAATTTTCTCTTCATCTCATGGAGTAATGCTGTATAAGACTTACACAAATGTAGGCTGTTGCTTCAGGCAGTCTTGGCAAAAAGGGGATGCTATCAGGCTTGCATTCAGAAGGAATATATGAAACCTTTAGGTCAGCAATTTTTCTTCAGCTGATAGGCACATTGAAATTTTGAGAGGTCAAGGGCATACTTAAAGGACTCCCGTGAGGTGAATGGTCTGTTCACAAAGTGGTGAGTGTGGCAGACTGGTAAAGTTCTTGCTGCTTGCTGCATGCACTCTACTACCTAGTTTACATTTTTGTTGTTAGTCTTCAGAGGCATTCTTGGAAATAAAGATAATGCAGAAGACTGATGCTTTGCCATCTTCCTATTTAATTTTTTTAATTAAAGATAAGTCAGGGAATATGGCAGGTACCAAGGTAGGCACCCTGGGCATATTAGTGCCTACAGTTGGTTTAGAGAGAG